AGTACTGTTTTTTTCCTGGTCATTACCATTTCTTGCACCAACAAGTGATAGATTGTGTGTCGGCTGATCACTGATCTTATTCATGCCATGCACCAACATTGCTGCTGCAATGATAGGTGCTTTTATTTCGAGGATGGCAAATGCTTTGCAGTGGGCCCAGCTACTGTGCACATCTGTCCGTCGGTTAAATCAAATTGCCATCAGCAAGTAGAGTCCCTTTGTCTGTGTCAGAAATGGTTGAATAGTGCCTCTTAAAAAAATTCCTAGAGCAAAGAACACTAAATTTTGGTTCAATTGCATACAACGTACATAACTCTGATAATCCATTGATTTAAAATTGATCAAGTTGTCCTGGCATTGTTATTATCTCACATGTTTTATGCATGTATGAGTGTATTATTATTATCATTGTTTTTATTATTGGTTCTAGTAGTAGTAGTGGCAGCAGTATTAGTATCAATATTATTATTATCATTGTTATAATAAATATTCTTATTGATATTGTTATTATTAGTATTAATATTATCGTCAGACACATGAGGTTGATTGTGGCCTAGGGGGAGAGAAAGAAAGGGGCCGCAATTGACCTTGGATGTCTAAGAATCAGGGTATGTTTTACGAGACATGACAGTAAATAGACAAACTCCAGGACTTGCCTGTATCTACATGTGAAACTTAATTGCATCCTCACATCTCATGTTTCCATCCCCTGGTGAAAAAGATTAGGTGATAAAAACTTTGAGTAGACTATTTCTTTGTATTGTCGATGATATTGATATGAAGTCTCCTCAAGATGGTTTGAATTTTCTGTGCCTGGGAGTGAAAACGTAATGAGGTGTGGATAGCATTTTCAAAGACTGTGTACAAGTTAAGCATTAAGAAATACTGCATTCCCTTACATTCAAGAAAGTAACAGCAGTATGCCAGTCAGCAGTTTCCATGTGGGTGCCCTCTAATTTTTCTTCTGGAGTGTAAGAATTCTGGACAGCCTGAATGACATTCACACCACGTTCAACAGTGAGCTGGTCCCCAACAATGGGAATGCTTTTACGCAAAGTTTGGTCAGCATTTTCGAAGTTTCGGGAGTACCCTCTTATTTGTTTTAGGATGTCAAGCATTTCCTCTGATTTATTTTCACTTTTGGAAATAACCCCCAAAAGGACCTTGTGGAAATAGAAACAAGAAAAAGATCACATATTAAAAATTATTGCAATTATTGTCTTTTTTAGTGTTAACTTCTGCTTACTCAGGGCTTGTGGGTGATTACCTTCTTCAGTTGTCTTTGCCATTTCTTTGCTGAATTGATGTGGTATATGTTTTACACAGACTGTAGAAACTTCAAACAGGGAAGATGCTCAACAAGTACGCCTGAAACCAGATAGGTAAAATCCCTTCTCAACTTTTCCTGAGCAGTTGCACTTGGAAGAAGCTAGCAATTATCTAGCCGTGATAATTCTAGTTGCTTCCTCTTCCTGCTTCCAAGTGTAACACGGTTTTTAATAGTAGAATGGTTAACGCAATGAATGTCTTTGTTTTGTCCATCAGAAGTCATGTGACGGGCTGCTATTCTGAGATCAATATGTTCAAGCACAATTTTGAAAGTGCCATCACTGTGTTCGAGTTTAAATTCCTCTGGATTACAAATCACTTTAGCTTGAAGGTCTTGCAGTTCTTTAAGCTTCTCATTAAACTTAAGGCCGTAGGGGTAAAGTTTTTTCAAAGAGGTCTTGATACTGAGAGCTTCATTGAATTTAATCGCCGAACGAACTTCTACAGAAGACAAGCAATGCAAAAAAATTCATATTTAAAACTTGTATATACATATTATGACGTTGTTCTATTTCCATGTTGTTTTTTTGTAGACCAGTTTGATTTTATTTCCTTAATTTCAAAATGAGACAAAAACGGCAAAAGCAAACTGGTTTGAACAAAATTTAAACTACACTGTACTGATAAATAACAGATATATTTGGCTCTGATGAAAGAAACCATGTGAGATATCAGGAAAATGTTCTATTCCTTTTTTTTCCGTCCCAATGTTTACTCAAGCTGGAAATATTCGCACCACCACAGGAACACTTGAATGCCTTACTGCCATACATCCAACCATCAAAACTGTGGGAGATGGCCCTGTTTGACTTTTAACCACCATTGGTGGGGAAGGAAATCTTGTTTGATGTTGAGGTAGGTTTGAAGGTGCAAATGGAGCCTTCTTCACGGGGTTTGCTTCCAGTGTTCTTGCAACAAGTAAGTTCTGAGCTTGATCTTGACTCAATCCCTGCTTCTTGCAAATCACAGCATTTTTTTACATTTCTGCCCTCAATGCGTCTTCGAGACTTTTGACATTCGACATCATCTTTTTTATCTTTTTCAACTTTGGTTAGAATATTCTTTTACAAACATATTGCAAGTCCTCGTTCGAAGACTGTAATTCACCACCTAAAATCTTGCAAGGAGTCCCTCGCAAATCCCACTGCGAGCACCCAAAAACCACTATTCTGTTGCTTGTTTCAAGAACCTAAGCCCGGGATAAGACGGCTTTCTTTGGCGTAGAAGTTAAAAACATAGCTAAGAAATATTTGCTTTGCTAAAATCTGATTGAAGAAAAACCCACGGAAAACTGATTTGTTTATTTTTCCATGCTTCATTTCTTACGCACATTGTGATTGGCTTTTCATATACAAGAGGGTGCTCTGATGTCATGAACACGACTTTTCACACAGAGTATATAAGATGGGAGAGGGAGGAAAGCAAAGGGACTGCGAATGACCTCGGACGTCTGAGAATCAGGCTGAGGCATTCGGAAGGTAAGTCAGCCATCCTTTGTTCTCCTGCCCATGCATTCCTTTTATGGAAACGGAAGCAATTTCGCAGCACTTGTCACACTGCCGCATAACCTTTAACAATGCAGAACTTCTGCCGAATGGAGGCCAGCATGTGTTTCCTGCTTGCATGAGCCAACTCTTGATGTTGCTTTGTGATGATTATGTCAGTTATGTGGTTTTTCTTTAGGAGAATGATCGGATGTTTAGCCTTTTTGGAACTTTAGGCATTACGTAGGTGACCTCCAACTTGTAAAATTCCATCAACTAACACTGGGCAGAGCTTATGGAGTAGGCTACGCAAGCTCGGACTCCTGGTGAAATGTTCTTATGGGTTTCCTGTTGTACTGCAGCAAGGACGACTCTTTCAGCTACGAGGATCTCGTCCACTGAGAGCTCCCCTTTGATAATTCTCTGATTAACGCCCTGCTTGCCATGCAACTTGATAAATAGCCCTTAAATCTCACCAACCAAGCAACTCCCCTTTTAAGGCGATCCCAGGAGGAATAATGATCAATAAACAGATGCAAGGCATTCTGATGGGACGTGATGAGTACTTGACCTTCCGGCTTCACGTCAGGATGCTCTTTCAACAGATCAGAGACCACTATTCCTTTTGGCCAACATTCTTCTGTTTTCCACAAAAAATCTGGACCATTGAGCCAACATTTACTCTCGATCAAGGACTTGGCAGTTAAGCCTCTCGAAATGTCATCAGCAGGGTTGGATTTGGAATCCACAGATTACTACTGCTCCAGAGAAGAACCATCATGGATAACCGAGAGACGATTCGCTATGAAAGTTTATGATGTACTTGTCGCATCAACAACGCTTGCTAGAGAACCTGCATCAGTACAAAAGAGCTTGGGCATGGGCACAGCTACAAAACTTATTTCATGCTCTTTTAGGAAGCCATGCATTAGATGTACTATGGAAAGAGCATTTTCATGTTGCCCAACCAATATTTGAATACATATCTAACCTGGTGAGGCCTGATCTCCAAAAACAACAAACCCGAATGCAAACCCCTGTAACTGTAGAAGAACAGGTTGGAATGGCTTTGTGGCAGCTTGCAACAGGTAATTCTTTCAGAAGTTGCATTCTGCAATTTGGATTGGGAAAATAGACAGCAAAGTGTATTTTTGAAGAGTTCGAGAAAGCCCTGGCTTGAAAAAAGGATCAGCTCATACAATTTCCAGTAACGAGAGAAGCTGTGTAAAAATGTATTGATGAAGTTGAAGAGAAGTATGGCATACCACCAATTGTAGGTGCAACTGGCGGCTGTCATATTGCAATCAACGCTCCATCAAGAAACCACAGAGACTACTGTAATTGTAAACAACATTACAATTTTGTTTTACAAGCTATAGTGGACAGTAACTTTAAAATTTCTTTACATACCAGTCAGTTACCCTGGGAGTATCCATGATTCAAGAGTGCTAAGGCTTAGCGGAATTTACGATCAAGCAGAGAGTGAGCAAATTCTATCTGTACCAATTAAAGATTTAGAAGGAACTAATATAAGGCCTTTAATTGAAAGAGATAGTGCCTATCCTGTTGGTAGTTGGCTAATTAAGAACGCGTGCCTACAAAAATCTAACATTGTGTGGCAAACTTTCAGATTTTGAAAATAGCTGAAACTTTGGCTTTTAGCAGTCCATATTGAGTTATTTATTGCTGTGTGGTTCATTGAGGAAATAACTTTTTGATGTCGAAGAAAATGACAAAGATCGATTTCATAGCCAGACACAAGAGAATTCAGGTCGAAAAATCAGTCATTTTGAAGCAACCCACTTACCCTACTGATAAGCTAGAAGACATTTATTTGTTATCAGCTTGTTCGACAACCTTTTTAGGTTTTATCTTGTAATTCCCATCAAGATCGATCGAGCTTGTGACACTGAGACCAACCAGAAAAAAAGGGACCTGTATCTCTATAAGAATCGCTTGCTAGATTGAAAACATAATTTATCCTACTACCTTTATCACAAATCAAAAGGAACTGTGAGAGTAAAGTAAGGCAGAATGGGCTTTCAACTGATAAAAAATTTTTTGTGGGAGAAACGTAATCGTGTTCTGTGGAAGAGTGCTGAAAATCTGAGAAAATCGCAAAATCAAACCGAGATTGCGTGACGCATCATGACAGATATTGCAAATGACTTTCAGGAAACATTCAGACCTATCCAATGCATTGGACATGTGTTTCACATTGATGTGAAGATCCAGATTGTCGCCGATAATCTGGTAACCTGGGATGTTTTCTTCATCCTTTTTCTTTGCGATGTTGCAGGCTTCAATTGGATGACATAAGCCTTCTACAATTGCAACAGCGACCATTGTTTCAAAGCATCCCATAACTTCTTCCAAAGAGTATACAGTTGCTTGATTCTGAAACAAGTTTTGTACCACCTCATATGGTGTGGTCACCCGACAAAACAGCTGCAGACAGGACACATCCAGTGTTGTGATTTCATTTTCCAATCGATCAGGCACTGCCAAACACATTTCTTTTCCAGCTTTCTTTTGGAGGATGACGTCCTTAAATTCACAAATGGGAGGCTGAAGGCCAAGATACATGGTGTCTTTTAATGAGGTTTCTATTAAATCTAAGATTTCCGACTTTCTCTGTGAGCTCTCATTTTCATTCTTCCACTTGAAAACTTCACGATCATGTTCCAGCCCCAACTGTTGTGCCTTTCTGTGTATTGTATCTGGATGTGGACACACCCAATGCCTGTAAAGGGTTTCGAGGCCCTGAAATAGTTAACCCCAATTTAAT